TATTTTGTAATAGAGCTTCCATCTTGCAACTCCATACCCACTGAAGAGCAACTCTGGTTTCCCCATCCCCCCACATAACTTGTGTTTTAAAAAGTTTTCTTTGTTTTCACTTTAAAAAAAAAAAGATTTATTTTATTTGGAAGGCAGATTTACAGAGAGAAAGGGAGTTCTTTACAAATTTTTGATACAAAGGCTATTTAAGAATGTAATGGGAATGAGATACCTTTCTCTTTTAACAGTTCATCATAGAGATTGTTTCTTGTTATATATATGGAACTCATCCCTTTTAATTACTGCAAAGTGTTAATATTTAATGGATGTAGCATAATTTAGTTATTCAGCGATTGACATTTAGATTATTCACGAATTTCCAGTACTTACAAATAATGTAGATTTTTGATCTTTCTGGACTGGTTTGTTTTAGATGGATCTTTAGGCTGTTAATGCAATTTGATTTTATTTGGTCTTAACTCAGAGACATTTTCTCTTAGTAGGTGAGTTTCTCATTTATATTTGCCAGTCATTTTAGTAATGATAACTCACTTCATTGGACCATATCCACACCCAGGTATTGCTCTGAGCACATTCCTTAGATGTCCTTTAGTCTTTGCAACTCTGTGAGCTAGGTGCTGGTTACCACCATTTAACCAGTGAGGAAACACTGAGGAAGACGAGATGACTTTCCAGACCTAGTAGCATGGGAGGCTGGGATTTGACTTAAGAGCACTTCCAGACTGGAATGGCATGCTGCTGTATGACACACGTGTTTAGTCTTAATACAGTTATTTTATTCTTTCTATTTTTAGTGGGTTTATTTATACACCAGTTTTTTTTTTAAACTCAAGACTTTTTTTTTCCTCTTGGTTTCTTATTAGATATGTGTTCTATCTAACAATTTGAAGGTTTTTTCCTTGGGTATTTTATATAATTTTATTTATTTACCCTGTATTTGTTTGGGGGTGATTTCCTATTTTGATCATTGACCATGTTCATGTTTTCAAATATTTTGTTTTAAAAAAAGTTTTATTTATTTATTTGAAAGAGAGAGAGAGATATACCTTTCATCCACTGGTTCACTCCCAAAATGGCCACAACAGCCAAGTCTGGGCCAGCCAAAGCAAGCAGCTGGGAACTTCATCCAGGTCTCCCATGTGGGTGGCTGAGGCTCAAATCCTTGGGCCATCTTCCACTGCCTTTCTAGGTGAATTAACAGGAAGCTGGATCAGAAACAGAGCAGCTGTGACTTCAGCAGGCACTCAGATAGGGGATGCCGGTGTCACAAGTGGCAGCTAAGCTTACTGTGCAACGACACTGGTCTCTTCATTTTCAAATATTCTTACTTCCTTTTCCTTTTCTCAATCATTTGCTTTTGACTGATAACTAATAAATAAGCTTATTCTGATTTAACAGGTATAACTTTATGTATATTAATCTCTCTGCTACTTTGTTTTACTTTGTATCTTTTGATTTCAAATTAAGAGATTGTGCCTATGCTGTCTCATTTGTGTATACACCTCTCAACTCTGTGGTATTTCTTTTGTGTAATTTGTAACATTTACATTTCCTTCTGTAATTTACTATAAAAGAAAATTTTTTAGTCCTACATCTTAAATGTATTCTTTTTTTTATTGTAAAACTTCATTTTTTTTCTGTATTATTATTGTTTGGATAAAGTTTATCTTTTAATAATTAATTCATGAAGGGCTGTTGGCAGCCAAAATTTCCTAAGTATTCTTTTTGTAAAGATGAGATGAGTCTGAAAGTCAGAGTTACAGAGAGAGAGGGAGAGATAGATCTTTCATCAGCTTGTTCACTCCCCAAATGGCTGTAATGGCCAGGACTGGGCCTTGCCAAAGCCAGGAGCTTCATCCAGTCTCCCACATAAGTGGCAGAGACCCAAACACTTGGGCCATCTTCTGCTGCTTTCCCTAGGCCATTAGCAGGGAGTGGGATCGGAATTGGAACAGCCAGGACACAAACTAGCATCTGTATTGTATGCTGGTATTGCAGGTGGTAGCTTTACCTGCCATGCCTCAATGCCACCCCTTACCTTTAATAAAATATTTATTTATTTGAAAGGCAGAGTTACAGAGAGTGGGAGAGACAGAGAAAAAGAGAGATCTTCCATCTGCTGGGTCATTCTACAAATGGCCACAACTGCTAGGCGAGAATGAAGCCAGGAGCCAGGAACTCCATCTGGGTCTCTCATGTGACTGACAGGGACTCAAGTACTTGAACCATCTTCTGCTGCTTTCTCAGCACATTAGCAGGCAATTGCATCAGAAGTGGAGCATAGGGGACAGGCGCCATGGCGCACTGTGTTAATCCTCCGCCTGCGGCGCCAGCATCCCATATGGGCTCCAGGTTCCAGTCCTGGTTGCTCCTCTTCCAGTCCAGCTCTTTGCTATGGCCTGGGAAAGCAGTAGAAGATGGCCAAGTCCTTGGGCCCCTGAACCCGTGTGGGAGACCAGGAAGAAGCACCTAACTCCTGGCTTCGGATCAGCGCAGCTCCGGCTGTTGTGGCCATTTGGGGGGTGAACCAACGGAAGGAAGACCTTTCTCTCTGTCTCTCTCTCTCTCACTGTCTGTAACTCTGTCAAATAATAGATAAAATCTTAAAAAAAAATATAAAAGAAGTGGAGCATCAGGGACTTGAACTGGTGTACCTATGGGATGCCAGTGTTACAGCAGAGGCTTGAACCTGCTGTGCCCCAGTGCTGGGCCCTTCTAAGTTCTTACATGTTCTAAGATACTTTGTTTTTGCAGCATAGTTGATTGATAGCCCAACCAGGTGTGGCATTATTGGATTTTTTTTTTTGCTGTGAAGACTCTGCAGGAATGGCCCCCTGAGTCCCAGTGTGGAAGACCAAGGCTGGCTGTCCCGTTACCACCTTAAGTGTGTGTTACTCTGCTGTGCTGTCATCACAAAATAACACAGGCTGAGTGACTTGAGCATCAGAAATTTACTTTCCTGTGATTCTGGAGACTAAAAATCTGAGAACAAAGTGCTGTTAGAATTGGTTCCTGGTTGAGGACCCTTTTTCTGGCTTGTAAATGACCAGCTTCTTGTGTTTTCACATGGCCTTTCTCTGTGCTGACATAGGTGGAGAGAGAGCCCTGTGGTGGCACTTCCTTTTTTTTTTTTTTTTTTAAGGCTACCAGTTCTATTGGATTAGACCTCCATCCATATGACCTCATTTAACCTTAACTGTGACCCTAAAGGCTTTGCTCCAAATATAGTCACATTGAATTTAAGGCTTCAATATGTGGATTTTTTTTGGGGGAAGGGGACAGGATTCAATCTGTAATGAAAGAAAATATGGACTCTTTTTTTAAATTTTTTTGTCAAAAGGCCCAGAAAATTATTTATTTTTGCAGCTTTAAGTATGAAGTGTAGCTCTATATGTGCTGACATGGAAAAATATTCACAGCACATTGCTAAATGATACAAAGTAGATTTTTTTCTTTTTAATCTTTCTGTTATCCTGCCATTTCCTCCTATTTGATAATGGTTATTGTTTTAAAATACATATTGAATTCTTGGAAATATCTTTGGATGATGTTCTTCAGCTTTGTTTTTAATATATTTCTAGGCATGTATTTTTTATCTGCCATTAGTTTGTCCTATTACTTTTCTTTCCCCTCTTTTTCCTTCTTTTCATTAAAAAAAAAAGATTTATTTGTTTATTTGAGAAACAGAGTGACGGAGAGGTAGAGAGAGACACAGAAAGGAAGAAATCTTCCATCTGTTGGGTCACTCCCCAAATGGCCACAAGTGGCTGAAGCCAGGAGCCTGGAACTCCTTCTGGATCTCCCACATGGGTAGCAGGGGTCCAAGCACTTGGAGCATCTACTGCTGCTTCCTCAGGTGCATTATTAGGGGGCTGGATCAGAAGTGGAGGAGCCCAGGACCCAAACCAGTGCTCCGTTACGGGATGTGGGTGACCCAGGTGGTACTTTAACACACAACACCAGTCCCCTTCCCCTCTTCCAGTGTTTTTGTGGCCAGTGTCATTGCACTCTTTACTCATCTTTGAATGAGAGGAATGTTTCTTGATCCATGTTTGTGAGTGTAGGTTAGGGAGGCCCAGTGTGTGAGGAAACTGTGCTTTGGGCTTTCTGCCTTGTGCTGGGCAGTACAGGTGTTTGGCCTAACCTAGCGTCCCTGGCAGCTCTGTGGTGGGAGAAGTCGTAGAGGGGTCAGGAAGCTTCTTCTGTTTACACTGGATATGTCCAGGCAGCAACTTGCTCCTTGGGCTCTGCTTCAGGGAACTTTTCTTTTTAAAATTTTTTAAAGGATTATTTTTATTTATTTGGAAGAGTTGCAGAGAGAGGTAGAGACAGAGAGAGAGGTCTTCCATCCACTGGTTCACTCCCCAGATGGCCGCAATAGCTGGAGCTGCGCTGATCCAAAGCCAGGAGCCAGGAGCCTCCTCCGGATCTCCCACGTGGGTTCAGGGGCCCAAGGACTTGGGCCATCTTCCACTGCTATCCCAGGCCATAGCAGAGAGCTGGATCAGAAGAGGAGCAGCCAGGACTAGAACTGGCATCCATATGAGATGCCGGCGCTTCAGGCCAGGGCTTTAACCTGCTGCGCCAACAGCGTTGGCCCCTGGGGAGCTTTTCTAAGTCACTGGTATCTGCCTTGGGTGTCCTCACTCAACTTGGCTATGTTTTCACTGCCCTTGGCAACTTGCTTCAGGGATATTCAGGGTGTTTTTGTGTTGTGGCCTCAAAGATAGAGTTTCCTTTTCTATCCCTTGTTCTTGTTTTGGGTGGATAATAGGAACAGAAGCCTTCAGGGAGGTCTGTACTCTGGCATCTTAAATCTTTTAAGGCCCACAGCCAGATTTCTTTAATTAATTACTCTGGTCATACTCTGTAAAATTAGAAAGTTGTATAATATCCTAGCCAACATGTTTTTGGTTAAGCTTTTTATGGTTCTGATGTAATTCTTGAAATTTGGGTGAACACTAAATATAGTGAATGTTTTCTTACAGACAGAACCTCCGCTGAACACCCCAGAAAATAGAGAATATCTTGCAGAAATTATGTTTGAGTCATTTAATGTCCCAGGACTCTACATTGCAGTTCAGGTAAAAACAGTTGTTGTGTGATTCCCAAAGAATCTTAGCTGGCCAGTGTGGAAGGAGTGGTAACTCCAGAGGGTCTCTGTCCTGAGATAATGCAGTATCAACTTCCTGTTCTCACTCCTTCAGCCACTCCCACACCCCCACACCCCCCCCACTCCCACACCCCCCACACCCCCACACTCCCACACACAGGTATGAACCAAAACAGTGGGGAACAGGTCCCACGACTTTTACTTTTATATTTGTATTACTGGTATGGACCGTGTAGCTCTCTCTTTTTCTGTGTATTTGTGTCTAATGTGTTTTTTTTCTAGGTGACAGAATAGAAATTCAAGTGTGAATCTCTGCTTGGCTTCTTTTGCTTACTGTAGAGTGTTGAAAAAAATAAATATCTTTACAAGGTTTCCCCTTTTTAGTCCCACTTTATTTTCTTGCTTCTGAGAGATCCTGTGTTTCCATGAGCTTACAAATCTCCTTTTGAAGAGATTTGTACTTGATGTGACTTTTTTGGGGTTGTTGGGGTTGTTTTTGTTTGTTATATCTGCCACCTTTTTTTTTTTAAATGGAATTGGCTGTAATTTTGAGAATTATAAACAAAATGGGTGCTTCCCAAATGTATCTGCATAGGAGCAGTCCCTGCTTTAAAAAAGGAGGAGAAGGAGTTTCACAGGAAAATAGATTTGGGAGGTACTGCATTCTGTGGTCTCCTCATGGTGACTGACCGTGCATATTAATATGGCATAGTCTCTGTAAATTTGTTCCAGCACTTCCAAATTTAGTTAACCACAGATCTTTCCCTGCCTCCTTAAATTTTTTATGTTGCATGGGATAGGGAAACACTTGAGTAAACAGTGTACCAGTGGTTGTCAGAGTGGTCTGTGTATCAAGTTCACCCCTGGGGAGTGTTTGAAAGTACAGATTGAGTACAGACTGTGCTTTGAGTTGGGTAGTTCTTTCCTGTGGGGCTGTCTTGTGCATTGCAGGATATTTGGCAGTAGCCCTGGCCTCTACCTGTGAGAAGACCACCACCACCAGTCACCTGTCTCTTCACAAGTGTAACAAGAAAAGTGATATTAGATACTGCCAGATGTTCTCTCGGGGAGCACATCTGCCCCTGGTTGAGAGCTCCTAGATCTCCGGTATTAGAATTTCTGGGTGGGAGGCCTGCTGATCTGTATTTTAAAGCTTCACAAGTGGTTTTATAGCAGCTGTCTGGTCATTAAAAGGTGGGGAAGTAGTGGATTAGACATTAGTCTTCTATTTACATATTAGAATTCCCTTTTCACTGGATTTTCTTTGTAAAACCTTAGTCTTCTTTATTGAAAACTTGACTCCTGGAGTTTGAAACTTTGTATGTTCAGTTGTGCAAGTTGGAATAGAAATTCCGTGGGGGGAGTGATGGGAGAAAGGGAAAGGAAAGAGTTGCCCAGACTTACTCAGTAAGAGTTTATTGGTCGCACCCAAGGATAAGCAGGCACAGCACTTTAGAAGAAGTTCCCTGTGTACTCGTGGTTTCTGTCTTCTCTCCAGGCAGTGCTGGCCTTAGCAGCGTCCTGGACATCTCGACAAGTTGGCGAGCGCACGTTGACAGGGATAGTCATTGACAGCGGGGACGGCGTCACCCATGTGATCCCAGTGGTAAGCTCCATAGTTAATACCTAACTCCCCTAGGCTTACCATCTGATTGGAGGTAAGTGAAGAAATTAAATAAGCCAGCTACCCTTTTACAAGTAAGATACCACTTTTTAAATGAGAGTTGTATTTGTAAAAGTCTAGTGTTTTAGAAAGTCAGATATGTGAGAAAAGTAAAAAAGATGGTCAATATTTGTGACTTTGGCCATTTAACAATCATAGTGGCAAATTTCTATAGTCAGAGTATCAGTGGTTGTTTGGGATTTCCGGTGTATAGCATCATTCCCATGGGTCTGACATCAGCAGCAGAGACATCATCTAGGCTTAGAGTTCCGAGCTGTTGGAGATACACATCATTTTGGATATTGGGAGTGTAGGGCAACTGCATGACCATTTGAAAGAATATGTCTATGTTTTATGAAAAGGTGTGAATGCTTTTAGCTTGTGTTTTAGAGAAGTTAATTCTGTTTTTTTTATTTTTTAAAAAATATTTTAAATTTATTTGGAAAACAGTGATTCAGAGAGGGGAAAATGGGGAGAAGAAGGGGAAGAGAGAGAGAGATCGAGATCTTCCGTCTACTGGTTCACTGCCCAAATGGCCGCAACAGCTAGGGCTGGGTGAGGCTGAGGCCAGGAGCCAGGAACCCAACACCTTGGCCATTATCTATGCTGCCTTCCAGGTGCTTCAGCAGGAAACTCAATTGGAAGCAGAGGTGGAGGCAAGACTCAAACCAAGTACTCTGATGTGGGATAAGGCGTCCTGAGAAATAGCTCAGCCTGCTGTACCACAGTGCCTGCCCTGATTATTCTTTTTAAAAATGTAGTTAAGAGTCAATGAGCAGATATGGTACTTTTGACTTGTAAAGATTTTGCAACATCATGTTCTGGTTTAATTTTCAAAATATTAAAAAATTAGAGAAGTGATTTCTCATTCCGGTTTAAAGAGCTCTCTCTTTTTCTTTTGGTCCAGTGGATTATTTAAAGGAATTATTTAAGTATTTTAATGAAGTGGAACTGTCTGAAGGGAGGGAGGTATTCATTGGAAAGTCAGACTCATTCCTGATTATCCTTTCCCAATATGACTTCCTCAGTAACCACTTTTACTGATTTTTTGCATATGAGCACATGAGTGTATTGTTTGTTTATATACTTCCTTTGCAAAATGCAAATTTGGATTTTTTCTTTTTTTGAGTGGCAGAGAGATTGAGAGACAAACACAGAGACAGAGAGAAGCTCCCATCTGTTAGTTCACTCACCATAGGCCCACAGTGGTCTAGGATGGGCCAGCCCTGGAACTGGGAGCCAAGAACTCATTCTAGGTCTCCTGTATGTGTGGCTCTGACCCAAATACTTGAGCTGTAACCTGTGCCCTCTCAGGGTCTACATTGATGGGAAAGTGGAATTTGGAGGAGACCAGGGACTTGAACAGGTAGTCAGTATGGGACACAGGTGTTTTAACCACTAGGCCAAATACTTGCCCCATGAATTAGGATTTGAAAAAAAAAAAATCCATTTACTTAAAAAAAAAAAAGTCACCATTTTATTTCAAGAAAGTGAAGGAATGATGTATCAATTGTTCATTCCCCAAATTCCTGCAATAGCCAGGGCTAGGCCAGGCGTAAACAAGGAGTCTGGAACTAAGTCTGGATTTCCCATCTGGGTAACAGGGACATGTGTACTGGAGCCAATACCTGCTACTTCCCAGGGTGCACATAAACAGAAAGCTGGATTGTAAGGGAAGCTAGTACTCAACCCCACAGACTTCTCCATAGGATGTAGGCATTCCAAGTAGCAAGTTAACCTCTGTACCAAATGGCTGCCCCTGGTTTTTTAAATTTATAACTGTATCTTAGTTCCATTTTATTCCAGTGTAAAAATTACATTTTTTGAAAATTTGGATAAAATAGGAACATAAAATAGAACATAGAAAAATGTAAAGAAGAAAATAAAATTACTCATAAAGCTATCCAGAGAACCATGTATTTTTTAGGTTCTAGTTCTTCTAGGCTCTATTTCTTAGCTCACATACACACACACACACACACACACGTACTTTGCACACATTTTAATCAAAATTGGAATAGCCTATGTCTGGTTTTATATCCTAATTATATAATTTTAAAGTTATACCTTGCATATTAACTCTAATTTTCTATTTTATGGTTAAATAGTCTGTGAAGAAATGTTTACTATGTAATTGTGGGCATAGCATACTTCAGTTAGTCATTTTCTTTTGCTTTTTGGACGTGTAGCTTGTTTTAATGTTTCTGGTGCTGTGATGAAACTGCAATTTAGTGGCAATGTTTAGAAAATGCTATATGTAATGCATAGAAAATTGTGAATAGTTTGTGTTAATAAATCTAATATTTTTATGGGTTTAAGTTGATCCTTACTATTTCAATGATTTATATTTATCTTTTATGTCTGCCTTAAATATTTTACAAATACTAGGACTTCACAGAAGGGCTAAATCTGCTTTACTTCTTAAAGTTAGGTACATCAGAAAAAAAAAAAGCAGGAGGAATTCTGTAAGTTGTCCTTGACCTTCATTGGTGGCTGTATCTAGTGCATGTAGTTATTAGAGTTAACACATCTGTAAAATGAAGTCAGTGTTTTACTTCCATTCCCTCTGTGTCACATGATGATTGTTGCACAGAGCTGTAACGTGAAACCCGAGTTATGTCTTTTTATCTGATGATACTGTGGTAGGGTGCCATCCACGCTCACCACCAGCATCTCCCCTCCCCAGCCCCTGTAGAACAGTTGGACTTGCCAAGCCTGTCTGTGGCTTCTGTGGCCACTCACTGCCCAGAGGGAGGTGAAGGAGGGAACTTTGGGTCCATGGCTGCTATGGGTGGAAAGATATCAGCCCTACTAGCAAGACCAGAGATAGTGGAGCCACTGTGTGTCCCTTTGCCGGCACCTTACACACCTGCCTTCACTGGCCCAGGAAGTCAGCACAGTGAGAGAATCCAGACTACTGATGCGCCTGCTGCCTTCAAAGGGTGGAGTGCTTAGGTTAACCTATCAGAATTGGTCCTTAGGACGGTACAAGGGACTGTTTGTTGAATACTTAGTGTGTGCCAGAGCACAGCACTACAGGCTTGACATGCAAGATTGTATTAACCTGTGTGAATATAATATAGTAAAGCCCCAGGGAATCATGTGTGGCGGCTGAAACATGGCCATGGCCACTCAGCCAATGAACTAGAAACTGGGGTTTGCATCTAAGTCCTGTGTACTTAACTGATTGCTGATTTTAAGATAAATATGGTAGATTTACCGTTCACTTGACAATTTATAGATAAAACCGTTTCCTTTTTTTTTACAGAAAAAAAATATTGGATTGTCTATTCTCATAGTCAGTGTTACTGTTACTTTTTGGAAATAAACTACCCTATGTGGTTTTCTTTTTCACATTCCTAATGAAAACATCATTTTTGGTTGCTATGGAGAGTCTCACGTTATTGGAATAATTTAGAATTTTAATATTAATGGGATTGCATATGCAGTAATATAAAAATACCTGCAGTACTGAGCTTGCACAGTGGTGACTCAGTAAGTGCTTGTTAGTGCCAGGAGTGGGGTGGGCAAGGGAGGCTGAGGCAGGAGACCTCATGAGTCTGGGCAGCTCCTGTCTGAGAGATTACTTACGCAGGCTGTTCTGCCTCCTCTTCTTCCCCAGGCAGAAGGTTATGTAATTGGAAGCTGCATCAAACACATCCCGATTGCAGGTAGAGATATTACATATTTCATTCAACAGCTGCTAAGGGAGAGGGAGGTGGGAATCCCTCCTGAGCAGTCACTGGAGACCGCAAAAGCCATTAAGGTAAAAACAGATGGGAAACTGGCTGGTTTGGGGGTGAGAGAGAAATGGTGTCTGGCCACGTCCCTTGGAGCCACCATCCCTTCCCTTGCCTCCCTTGCCTGTCCCTATCAACCCTTCCCTGTGAGTGTGGACATTGATTTGTTTACCACTGAGTTAAGGGGGCTGAAGACCTACAGCTCAACAACTTCTGACAGACGCGCTGTTGAGATTTCGGCTGTCAGCGCTATCAGCTTGATAACTGGTATTGAGCACCGGCTCCTGTAGTACAGCAGGGTGTCACTGGAACCTAATTAAATAGAAGTGCAGTTAACTAAAGCTTCTCCCCCCTCTGGAAGGGGAGGCCAGCTGCAGCATCACAGGTGACTGGCGGCATTGGTCTGCACCCATCATTGTGGCCTAAGAATTCAGCAAGTTTGTGGGCAGATGAAATGAAAATGCGTTTATCTTGCTGCAGGAAATTTCAGATCCATGCATTTTTTTTTGTAATGTGCCTTTTCCACAGTTTTTGAAGACCTCTTTTATACTTCAAAACAGTGCAATTCTAGGATCTAGAGTAGACTCATTAAACAAAATTCATCTGTATTTTCTATACTCTAATTTCTATATTAGAAAAGTTACAGGACATTTTAGAATTTAATCAGTAAGATCAGAAGAAAAATGGCTGATAATCCTTAATTAGAGTGTGTGTCTGACATGCTCCTCAGGGTTAATGTTGTCTTACTCTGTACATGGCAATTGATACACCCTTTGTAAAGAGTTTGTCTTCTCAAATTGCAAAATCAGGACAATTAAAAAAAAATCAAAATGCCAGAAATCCTTAGCAATCCAAGGATAATTATTACACAGATAATGAGGGAAGGAATTTTCTTGGGAGAAGAATTTAGTTTGGAGATGGCAGTGACGTGTGGTCTTGAGTATATTCTTTCTCATTTGGTGCTGTTGAGCTGTAGAGGAGCAGGGGCAGGGGATGTGAGACTCAGCCCTCCTCTCCTGCTGCACTGCTCCTCCTAAGCACCTCAGAGCTGAGGCTGGTTGAAGGAAAGGAAGCACCAGGTGTGGAACCCAACTTAATCTCCTGACTTTTCTTTTTCCCTTAAAGCCCTCACTCCTCTATGTATTTCTCTCACTAAATAAAAAGCTTAAAAACTTAAAAAAAAAAAAAGCACCAGAGATGATTCTCAGGTTTTGATGGACAATCTAGGACAGGGAGGGGCACTGATCTAGGGTAATTTTCTGCAAGTAGGCCCTCTCCTCCCCCAGTTTACCTCTGGCTGGAGGTTCCAGGGAAGGAGGAGGGGTGGTGGCAGGGGCGGGGGCAGGAGAGCTCTCAGTACTCAAAGAGTGAATTCCCGGCACAGAGAAGAGTTGGTCCCTTCCCTCTGGGGCGAAGGTTTTCTGAGGTGTCATAAGACTCTTCTTATTATTATTTATGTTTTTAAAATATATATTTAAATTATTTATTTATTTAACTTTATTCGAAAGAGAGACAGAGACATAAATTTTCCATCCATTGGTTCACTTCCCCAATCCCTGCAATGTCCTGAACTGTGCCAGGTTGAAACGAGGAGCCAGGGACTCAATCCAGCTCTCCCATGTGTGTGACAGGGAACTACTGCCCTTAGAGTGCAAATTAGCAGGAAGCTGGAATTGGAAACGGAGCTGAGACTTGAACCTTGAACCCTGAACCCAGACACTGCCTGTGGGATGCAGGATCCTAAGTGATATCTTAACTGCTGCCCCAAATACCCACTCCAGACTTTGTTTTATAGACTGAAGTGTTTCCTTTTCAAGATTTATTTATTTATTTATTTTTCAGATTAATTAATTAATTAATTTTTGAACAGCAGAGTTACAGAGAGAGAGGGAAAGTTAGATAAATCTTCCATCTGCTGGTTCAGTCTTCAGATGGCTGTAATGGCTGGGACTGGGCCAGGCTGAATCCAGGAGTCTGGAACTCTGTCTCGGTCTCTCACTTGTGTGGCAGGGGCTCAAACACTTGGGCCATGTTCTGCTGCCTTCCCAGGCGCATTTGCAAGGAGCTGGACCAGAAGTGGAGCAGCCAGGACTTAGAACAGGCGCCCAAAAGGATGTTGGTGTTGCAAGCAGTGGCTTAATCCACTGCCCACAACTCCAGCCCCTTTTAGACTGAAATAGTTCACAAGATTTTTCTCTCCTTCTTTCTTTGCCTTTCTTCTGGGGAAGAAAATTTGATACCTGGTGTAATCTTGCTTACCCACCCTGGATCTGCTACAAATGAGAACCCTCTTGTTAGGGTGACTCTTGAGAATCTGAGTGCTCCCCTCTCAGTGGAGGTGGCGCTCCCAAGCCCCATGCTGGGCTTTTGTTTCACTCCCTGCTTACCTGGTTCCATCCTGACCCTGGAAGTTGAGGTGGTGCTGCAGGATTAAGAATGTGTTTTGCTCAGCTGTGAGGATTAGGAGTGGAAGAGACTCTCTTTGCAGACTCCGAGCAGCTTCCCTGACTTGTCAGGTGTGGGTTGGCCCTGTTAGTTCTTACCTCACTTCTTCCTGTAAAGGAAGAGATCCTGGAAGGAATGCTTTAGATGATCCCTACCTGCTGTGGTCATGAGCAGGCCTCAGCGTGTTTAATGTGAACACATCGTTCTGTCCCATGAATGTAGAACTTCCGTGTTAGCACTGCTACTCTGCATCCAGCTTCAGGAGAGTGTTTCACGACATCAGTGAAGTGCGTTAGGATGCTGTAGGGCATTGACCAGTCCTCCCAGGACAGCTGAGTCTTGATAGGTCTCTAGTCTTGATAGATTCAAAGTGCTATTGACTCTCTCTCATCAGGGAACTCAGGGCTGTGTAACAATTCTTGCCCAGCCATTTTAGTTAGCTAGAGTAGATCAAAGGTATCCAGATGTTATGAGAATATGTGTCAGGAATTCTAGGAAACTTAAAGCTTGATGCCACAAAGAGGTCTTTGAGGGAGTCATTCCTTCTAAAATGTATAGAGAGCTCAAGCTGGTGCTGCTCTCGTGCATGGGCTGAGTGGGCCTACCTGAGCCATGCCCACCTGGCGCTTACTTTCAGAAGCTCGTGCCCAGATGTCACCTGCTGCTTTGCTGAGCTGATTGCTAAGGACAGATGATCAACACAGGGATCCCCAAGAACATCACTATCATCAGATTCTCAGGAAACACTTTGCACAGCTCATGTTGGGTGTTGCTGCCAGTGTGGAAGCAAGTAACAAGTTGTGCTGTAGCAGCCGCATCCTGGTGACTCTGGCCCTCCCACCTGACTGCTTTTGTCTATTGTTCTTGGTCCCTATCACCTTTATTGTAGTCCCTTATTGTCTGACTCTCAGCTAGTGTCATCTGGACAGGGATCTGTGTGTTTTATTCACTTGTGTCTTTCCAGTGCCTAGACGTGCGATACATATGTGTTGATTGAGGGTATGCCTCTAGGAAAACCTGGGCAGTTAGAGGACAGTTCTGTGGCTGACTCCACAGCACGTTGATGGCTGAGATTAACCGTGATCTCTCCGTTGGTGCGGCACCAGAGAAGCCATTGCAGTAATGCAGTGGGTGTAGACAGCACCGCAGTCGGTAGATTGGGCTGCAGCACAGTTTGCTGGTCCAGAAGCTGAAGACTACAGGGTGCCTGGAGGGGTGTGAAGAGACACGCCAGGAAAGACTAGACGGAGACAAGGTACTGACCCACGATAGATCTCTTGTAGTGGTTATAGACACCATTCCAATAAGATGGCAACAAAAGTAGACCAAGGCTGGGATCAGTAGTTAAGTGTCAGAGAAAGCAGACTCAGCCTGTCCAGAGTCTGAGTATAGTGATGTCTAATATGAAAGGCAATAGATGAGGAGGCTTGACAGCACATGCACTGTTGTTATGGAGTGGGCAGATGTCATTTCAGGGGTGTGTGTAATGTATGGAGTCCCTGGGTAGCTGTCAGAAAGGGCCGAGACTCTGGGTAGGTGTTAATGTCTGGTGATGTCTTTGTGTGTATATGCAGGAGAAGTACTGTTACATTTGCCCGGATATTGTAAAGGAATTTGCTAAGTATGACATGGATCCCCGGAAGTGGATCAAACAATACACGGGTATCAATGCAATCAATCAGAAGAAGTTCATTATAGATGTTGGTTACGAAAGGTTCCTGGGACCTGAGATATTCTTTCACCCAGAGGTAAGATGCTGCTTTTCCGAATGTGTTGCAGTGTGGTGGATATGGAGCAATATTGCCACCTAGTGTGCATGAAGAGTACTCTCAATGGAGTCCTAGAAGCCAGCTGCCTTTCAGTTCTCTCAGCAGACAGTGACAATGCCCGGGTGCACTGTGTCTGCTCGATTGATTCTTCAATTTGCCTCTTCGTAGACTGGGTTGTCTGCTGAGAGGTTAGAAGAAGTTTTAAGAGCATTGGAAAATAATGGAATTAAAATGAGTCCCAAGGGTTTAGGAGTACCTTCCAGTGAGACAGCTGGTTACCCTGAAGGGATGTATGCAGGTTGATTCTGTGTGAACGTGGGGTGACAGGTAACGTCTCCACCTTCTATGGTGGTCTGTCTGAATCCCAGTTGTAACGCAGGATGGTTGGTCCTGCTGTGTTGCTCACTGAAAGTCAAGGTGAGCTTTTGTCATTTTTACTGGTCATCACAAGGAATTAGTAATACTTCTGCAGAAAGCAGAAATTAAGAGGCAACAGTGTAAGCTCCACGTACAATGGATTAAATTTGTATTTTGGTATTATTTTCCTGCCTAATTCAGTTTACATGAAGTAGGTAGGTATCAAACTGCTGCCTGTTTTAAGATGTATATTTTGTACAAAGAAGTGGTGCTGAGTGTATGCCTCACTATTCATAATCTAATGACTAATATTAACCTAATGAATAGTAGTAACCTAATTAATACTCATGCTCTTGATAGTATCAATTTAAAGTATACAAAAAACAGACCAGTGTCTAGCGAGCAGCTGGTGGACAAGAGGATGTTACTGCATTCTTTCTCTTAGACTTTTGCACACTAAAGCTTTCCTTGATTTTAAAAATAGACTTCAAACGTGATTGAGTGGAATTATTTGCACTTCAGCTTACTTAACTCAAAGAATTGAATCTAGTAACTGTTATATTGTACAGATTGTTGCATTTTAAAGTTACCACCATCAAGAAACACAGCCCTTCCCCTGTCTTCTAGGCCAGGGTTATCCTTCCACTGAACATGTTTCCTTTTCCTTATGTCCTGCCTAACTTTCTCATGTTGGCAATATTCACTGGTGATACACTTGTGAGTTTCTCATTGCGTATCACGTAGCTCACACACATAACTTTTCTCTCATTAGCATGATTTACTATGTATTTGTGATGTGGGGTGGGGCTGTCTTTGTTACTAAATCTCATGTTTCTTGTCTCAAGGAGACACAGGTTACCACTTCATGGGTATGTGATCCGTCATCTGTGAGATTGCTTTGACGTTCCTTCATTCCAGTGTGAAGTGTTTTTAAGTTACAGTGAATTGTATTATTTGTTAAAGTTTCTTTTTTTACAAAGAACTTTTTTATTTTCCTATTTGAGAGAAATGTATGATGTTTCTTTTGTATTTATGTAAAATTTAGTTTGCCAACCCAGACTTCATGGAGTCCATCTCGGATGTTGTCGATGAAGTAATACAAAACTGTCCCATTGATGTGCGACGCCCGCTGTATAAGGTATAAGCTGATTGGGTAAGGTACTTTGATTTCATTCCAAAATTAAAGGCACAGAATTCTGAGACTAGGTGCTTAATATACTGACATTTCTGTTTTGCTTTCTGTTTTATAGGATTTGTTAACAGCAGTATAATTATAAATGATTTTACTCGGAGAAAGACTGACTTAAAATGTTTAGAAATATGACTTGGTTAACTAGAAGTATTTAATGTAGATACTGTAATATATTTTATTCTTACCTGGGAAGGTATATTTTAAATTGGAAAATTTTGGTCCTCTCACTGGTTGAAAGATAAAAGTGATACCTTCTTAGGCCTCCTGTGAACTCTGCAGTCTTGTTTCATGCATATTTACTTAGGTTCAATGCTAATGTGCTGTGATAGAAGTTAGAGTCCAAAATGGAACAATCAGATTGTAGAATATGCTCTTAAAATTTTTTTTTCAAAATTCTTGGATTGCCTAGAATTTGAAAACTTGGAATGAGAAAAGTCTAGTCCATGTAATTGGTGAATAACAGGAAATGCTGGCCCAGAGCTGGCAGCCAGAAACTGAAGGCAGAATGTGATTATCAGTTAGCTTTCCTCCATCTCTCGTTAGCCTTTGCCTGAGTGAATCATACTGCCACTGTAAGCCTCGTGACTTCATCTCACTCAAATTTGGCTAGATTGATTTTCTTTTCTTTATTTTAAAGATTTATTTATTTGAAAGGCAGAGTGATAGAGGGAGAGGGAGAGAGCAAGAACGAGAGCAAAAGAGAGAAATGTCTTCCATTTGCTGGTTCACTTCTTAAATGCCTGCAACAGCCAGGGTTAGGTCAGGCTGAAGCCAGGCACTTCACCCAGGTCTCCCACAGGGGTGACAGAAACCTAAGTACTTGGGCTGTTATCTGCTGCCTTCAGACACACTAGCAGGAAGCTGCATTGGAAGTGGAGGAGCTGGGACTAGACCCCAGGAGCTCCTGATATGGGAATGTGGATGTCCCAAGCAGAGGCTCAACCTGTGGTGCCACAGCGCCTACCCCAGGTGAATTTTAAAGAGTAGAGAAATGGTTCAACAGTGAGGACTCAATAAATTTTAACTTTTATTTAAAAAGATGTATTTATTTATTTGGAAAGTAGAGTTACAGAGAGAGAGTGAGGACTGAGACAGTGATCTTCCATCTACTGGTTTACCCCCAGATGACTGCAACAGCCAGGGCTGGGCCAGACCAATAATAGAAGCCAGGAGTTTCATCTAGGTCTTCCACTTGGGTGGCAGGAGCCCAAACACTTAGGCCATCATCCTTTGCTTTTCCCAGGCCATTGGCAAGGAGCTGGATTAGAAGTGGCGCAGCAGGGATATGAACTGGCACCTGTATGGGAGGCCAGCGCCACAGGCCGTAGCTTTACCTGCTACACCACAGTGCTGACCCCTGTTTTATCTTCACAACAGAATACTAGGTAACCTTTGAAAAGAATGAGGTAAATCAGTGTAAATTCAAATGAGAAGATAGCTATAGTACATCTTAAATAAAAGAACTTATAAAACTTTACATATAATTTCATTTTATATAAAATATAGCTTGCATATTTTTGATACATACTTTGCTGCTTTTTTAAAGATTTATTTATTCATTTCAAAGTCAGAGTTACAGAGAAAAAAGGAGCAACATATAGTGAGAGAAGTTTTCCATTCGCTGGTTCACTCCCCAGATGCCTACAATGGCTGGGTCCAGGCCAGGCTGAAGCCAGGAGCCAGGAGCTTCTTCTGGGTCTCCCACATTGGGGACAGGGGCCCAAGCACTTGGATAATCCTGTGCTGCTTTCCCAAGCCATTAGCAGGGAGCCGGATTGAAAGTGGTGCCCATATGGGATGCTGGCACTGCAGGCAGCAACTTTACCTGTTGTGGCACATTGCCAGCCCCTTTGCTCCTGAAGTAAGGAAAGTATCTTTGAGGGTATGGTGATGGTTAACTTTTATGTTTGTTTTTTGTGCTTTAAAATTGCTTGAATTTTTTTTTTTTTTTTTTTTGACAGGCAGAGTGGACAGTGAGAGAGAGAGACAGAGAGAAAGGTCTTCCTTTGCCGTTGGTTCACCCTCCAATGGCCGCCGCGGCCAGCGCGCTGCGGCCAGCGCGCTGCGGCCGGCGTACCGCGCTGATCCGATGGCAGGAGCCAGGAGCCAGGAGCCAGGTGCTTTTCCTGGTCTCCCATGGGGTGCAGGGCCCAAGCACCTGGGCCATCCTCCACTGCACTCCCTGGCCACAGCAGAGGGCTGGCCTGGAAGAGGGGCAGCCGGGACAGAATCCGGCGCCCCGACCGGGACTAGAACCCGGTGTGCCGGCGCCGCTAGGCGGAGGATTAGCCTAGTGAGCCGCGGCGCCGGCCAAAATTGCTTGAAATTTTATAGTCAACAAATCTTGTTTTTATAATTGGAAAATATTTTCCTACCTAGATAATGTTTTTTTTAAATTTATTTTTTAATGTTTATTTATTTATTTGAAAGGCAGAGTTATAGAGGCAGAGGCAGAGAAAGAGAGGTCTTCCACCTGCTGGTTCACTCCTCAAATGACTGCAATGGCTGGAGCTGTGCCGATCTGAAGCCAGAAGGCAGGAAATCTAGATAATGTATTATGACCAGAAAACAAATTATGATTCCAAGTGTTGTTGGCCTTGTAGCCTTAATTAAACACCTTTCCTGCAATAAAAACCTGCCATAAGAGGGAAATTAAAGAGATTGCAGTGTGAAAGTTAAGTAGCGTGTCTTGTGCTTTCTAATTCTCAAATCTCACTTAACATTGTCTTATTGTCAGTGAGAGACAGGAGGGACTGGCATTGTGGCATGGTGGGTAAAGCCTCTGCCGGTTAATGCTGGCATCCCTTATGGATTCTAATTCGTGTCCTGGCTGCTCCACTTTCTGATCCAGCTCCCTGCTAACGGCCTGAGAAAGACAGTAGAAGATGGCCCAAGTGCTTGGGCCCCTGCTACCCACGTGGGCGATCCAGGTGAAGCTCCTGGCTTCAGCCTGGCTCAGCCCCGGCTGTTGCAGCATCTTGAGAGTGAATCAGCAGATGGAAAGTCTCTCTCTTTCTCTCTTCCTCTGTCACTCTGACAGGAACAGGCGCACATAAAGAGCCTAATTCATCATCAAGAAGCTTTGCCCCCTGTTATGGACTGCTCGTGCTGGTCTCATTTGATGACACAGTTCACTTAGTTCAGTGAGCTCCATATTCAATAAGCGATGGCAGCCCCAGAGATGGAGAAAGGTGGCAGAAACTAGAGCCATGTGGGTGAAATGAAACAAATTGGTCTCAGGCTTTGTTTATTTTGGGGGAGGGGTATCAGGAGAGGCCATTTTATCTCTTGTCATAGGAGAAATTCGTTAACCAACACAATGACTGTATTATTTAGGAAGGGTAAGGCAATCTTTACTTCTACTGTGTTGCTTATCCAAGGACGCTTGAGGAATCTGCCTCTGTTTCTTCCCCTACTACGGTGCCTGCCCCTTTCTTTCTAATAATTTCACTGAGATGCCGTTTTCCTTTTTGGAATTAGTAAGTAACACTGTGTTTAACGTGCGGATTCTGAACTCAAGGAAGCTTTATAAACTGGAGAGACAAGGCAAGCATATGAGAATGACATGTGACTGCTGCAGGAGTTTCAAATCACTTAAGCTTTTGTGTCAGATGTAGGGATGGTGGTATATCCCATGAGGCCATGTTTGTGTACAGGGCTTGATATCTAAACCTGGGAAAGTCATGAGAGAGAACAAGGATTAAAGGTGGGGAGAGACAATGGCTCATGAAGAAGAGGAGGAAGGAAACGATCTAGGGGCTAGTGCTGAGGGTGTCTGAGGCAGAGGGTGCAGTGGTGAGTTCTCTTCCCCTCACCGCTCTGTAGATCAGCCTCACGTTTCCATCTGCTTTCTAAACGTTCCAGCTGACTGTCGGGTGGTGTCCTCAGCAGCTACCCACAGATAGCTTACTGTTCTCTTAGTTCATACGCGTACTCCTCTCCCAGTCACCTGGCTGGAAGTGTTAGATTGTGTCAGAGACAGCTGCAAAATGGGCTAGTACAATGGTGATACTAGTGTTGTGCGTGCGATAATAGCTCGTTAAAAATGTCCTTTCACAGTCATTTTTTAAAGATTTATTTATTTATTTGAAAGTCAGAGTTACATAGGAAGAGAAGGAGAAGCAGAGAGAGAGGGGGTCTTCCATCCGCTGGTTCACTCCCTAATTGGCTGCAACGGCTGGAGCTGCGCCGATCCGAAGCCAGGAGCCAGGAGCTTCCTCTGGGTCTCCCTCACGGGTGCAGGGGCCCATGGACTTGTGCCATCTTCCACTGCTTTCCCAGGCCATAGCAGAGAGCTGGATCGGAAGTGGCGCAGCTGGGACCCAAACCGGCGCCCATATGGGATGCCCGCACTGCAGGTGGTGGCTTTACCCACTATGCCACAGCGCTGGCCCCCACAGTCATTGTTAGGTGGCTTAACAATCAAGAGAAGTGAGGTGGTGTTGGCTGTTGACTGCCTGTATATTTATAGTAATCATCTTGGACTTCAGTAGATGTCTAAGTCAGCAGTTTCCTGTAGATCATTTGATGAAAGGAGATGAGGGCAGACCCATTCTAGATAGGATAATGAATGATGGGATAGAGAAACTGTAAGAAAACATGGTCTTAGAAAGGTTTTTGAGGACTGGTGTTATGGTGCAGCTGGTTAAAGCCCTGGCCTGAAGCACTGGCATCCCATCTTGGTGCCGGTTCAAGTCCCGGCTTCTCCTCTTCTGATCCAGCTCTCTGCTATGGCCTGGGAAAGCAGTACAAGATGGCCCAAGTCCTTGGGCCCCTGCACTCACGTGGGAGACCTGGAAGAAGCTCCTGGCTCCTGGCTTCGGATCGGCACAGCTCTGGCTGTTGTAGTCATCTGGGGGAGTGACCAGCAGATGGAAGACTCTCTCTGTCTCTACCTCTCTCTGTAACTCTTTCAAATAAATGAAATAAATCTTAAAAAAAAAAAA